AACTTTAAGGTAAAGCAAGTTCTATTCTGTTAGAAGCTCTGGGGGTGTATGAGGTCTGGAGCCCAAGAGGCCCTCACCCTCCTTGGCCTGACCTAGGGGAGAGCAGTGGGACTTATTGCTGAATTGGGGTCTCCTCATTGGGGGTGGGGGAGGGTCAAGGCTATGTGCCATTTGTCCTTTTTATTCTAGACTCATTACCCTAAAGACTTTCAAGGGGACCTGAAAGGAATTCCTGCTGAGGTAGCTAAGTGTTCATGTCCCCTCAACCCAAGCATAGGTCCAATCATGCCATTGTTTTGGCCCCTTCCCCATCGCAGCTTCCCCACTATGAGCCAAGGATTCCTGCTAAAGCTCCTCTGCTCTTCTTCAGAATTTGTTTCCCTGGCAGGACCCTAGCTGAGTTGCAGGAGCTAGAAACTACACATAAAAATAAGGTTAGCATTCTATAGGAAGAATAAGATTTTTAGAAAATTATCTAAGAAAAACAAGAAGTAGTTCTTGATTCATCCAGAACTTAGTTCTTTATGAATCATAGCTGGGTCCTTTCCAGAGTTCTTCCTTAACATGTATCACTAGAGAAGGTGGGAGAGTGAGTCTAGAATTTACTCTAGAGCAATAATATGGCTATATAGGCCCCAGTTCCATCCTGGAGGGAAGGTCTGAGAGTCGTGGTCTACTTGTATGTCCTAGAGCCAAGATTCAGAAGGAAGTATGGCTCCATTTGTGTCTAGAACACCATGCTCTAGAATTGGGTGTCTCTGGGATAAAAAAAGTTAATATGTGGTGATCTGAGACTGGTCCCAGTTCAGGCCAAGGCCAAGAGCTGGACAGGGCTCAAATCCAGCCTCTCTCTACTTGGAAACCAGGGGTCCATCTGGGTCAAGGAAGCCTGATGGATCCAGAACAGAGCCTGGCAGCATGCCTGCATTCCAGCACAGAGCCTTAGTGCAGAAATGGCCCTGGCTGGGGTGCCTGGTGTTCCAGAACCTGTCTAAAACAAGGCAGAGGTGGAATAGGGAAAGAAGGAAACTAATCCTGAGCTCCAATGGACCTATAAATCTATGGCTCAGTGGCAATGAAGAAGGCATAGGGCTCTAGGAACTGGTTGACCCTGGGGTGGGGAGTATTTGTGACCTGCTTCTGTCAGTTTGGGAACCCCCAGAGCTACCTCAGGAAAAGGCTTTGGAGGTGTGTGAGTGTAAAAGGAAAGAAGTGATCAGCCAGGACCATTTTCAAACATTCCCCTTTTTGACCCCCCTCCTGAGTCCAAGGACCTAAGGGTCTTAGCAGTTACTAGGGTCCCTCAGGATAGAGCACCTGGTGGGACCTGGCTTCTCAGGGCATGAGTATGGCAGCTGGGGTGAGAGCAGGGCCAGGAGCAGGGCTGGGAGACAGACTGTGGTGGTAGCTGGCTCAGTGCAAGTGCAGGAGCCTCCAGTCCAAACTCTACATTTCAGGGGGCAGGAGGACTGGAAGGGGAGGTCTCAGGGACACTGTGGAGAGAAGGCTCCCGGTACATGGCCACTGTGAAGGGGAAAAAGAGGATCAGGAAGAAAAGTTAGGCAGAGAGAGACCTAGGGAGAATCAGAGCTCTGAAAGGCCTCCCTTCCCTACACTCATCCTCTGGGAACCCCAACCCACAGGAGGAGAGCTCCCCAAACCCCCAAAGGCCAAAGCCTTCCTGGCTTGACCTCTCATAACAGGTGTCCTCTTTACACTTGTAGCCCCAGAGCTGTATGTCACTAACTGACCATGTCAAGGTCAATACCCTCCCATATGGCCCGCATTTTCTTCAGTCCATACTCACCCTCCAGGAGCTTGGGCACAAAGTGGGCAGCTGCCTTGGTCTTCTTGACTCTATTTCCTTTCATGACTCGGCCCTCCTTGTCCAAGCCTAGGTACCAGGCCCGGCCAGAACGGCGCTGACGGTAGAGTGCAGAGGCATACAGGACGTAGTAATTTTCAAAGACGCACTCCTTAAAGCGACACTCAGCTGTGAAATGTGGCTGCGGAGACAAAGACCCAGAAAGGCATAGACAGACAGAGAGACAAATAGACATATCACTGGAGCCCTGGGAAAAACAAGACAGGATATAATCCATACATTTCAGGATGGGAGGGCCAACTTCTGAGTCCATGCTGGAATTGGGAGAAAGGGAGGACAAGGAAGAGTCTGGTAGGCCCCTGAGGTTTAGGAACCAAACTTTTGGGGGTCCTAGAATAAGAAAATACCTTCTCTCCACTCTATTCCCAACCTTTCACCATTCCCTATCCTAAATGATTCTGGAGAAGTGAGTAATAACGAAGTCTGGAGAAGGTAGGATGAGAAATGGGAACTCTAAAAGGATGAAAAGAGTTGGACATTCAAAGAGGCTAGGGACATCTGGAGGGCTGTTTGAAGAGTAAAGATTAGAGGGACCCTAGAGGAGGTGCTCTGGAGTGGGCAGTGATGACAGGACAACAGCAAGAGCTAGAGTGAGAAGGAGTCCTGAGCTGCAAAATATCTGTAGTTGAGAAAGTTGTAGCTGGGGGAGTCCCCAAAGCCCAGGCCACTCTGCCTCATTATCTCACCGAGCTGTAGAGCAGCCCCTCAGCATTCATGGCCATGTAGTGACCCAGCTTGGCACTCTGGATGGTGACCACACGGAGCCCCACCGGGATCAGATTGAAGTGGGCTGGGAGTGGAAAGAGGGAGTATCAGTACCCTGGTCCTTATACCACCATCTGAGCTCCCCCCATCCCAGCTCCACTTCCTTCCTCAAAGAGTCAGACTGAATACAACAGAACCTGAAGCAGGAATAGGATTGTCATCTAGCCCCACACTCCCCCTTCACACCCAGCTGCTGGCTTCCCCTCTCACTAAAAGAGCTGGTGTCCTCTGGGGTACCCTGGATGCTTCCATCGGGATTCGCCTGGAGGTAGAAACCCTGGCGGCAGAACAGTTTTGTGACGATGCCTTTGAGCTGAGGCTCTGGAGAGAGAGAGAGACATTAATCTTTGAAAATGACATCTCTGTTCCCAAAAACATTTCTACACTTGGTGGGATCAGAGGAAAGAAAGGAGCGTGGAGGGAAGGAATAGGATCCCTGGGCCCCAGCTCTCTGACCCTCCAAACAAACTCTCTCCCAACCTCTCTTTGATTCCTGAGGACGCTGGAGTGTGGGTCCCTTCTGCTTCCTCTAACCACAGCTTTCTGTTTAATTTATTGAAATTTATTTAAATGGCTTAATTTCTACTCTACAGCTCAACCAGAAGTGGGGGAGGGAAGAGGAGGGGGAGAGGAAGAGAAGAGATACATCAAAAGGCAGAGGACAGAGGGAGACAGGCAGGGATGCTGAAGGGGCAGTGTGTTTGAGAATGTGGGGGGCAGCAAGGTGACCAGAGGGTAGGGGCGTCCCCTCAAGAGTGGGGGTGGGACTGGGCCTGACGCTGACTCAGCACCTGCTGCTGCGGCTGCGGCTTCCTTGGCGCTGGCCTCGCCTGGCTCAGCGCCCGCCTGTCTGACACTGACCCATCTGTCAGTCTGTCTGTCAGTCTGCTGGCTCGGGGGCCCAGCCCTCCCTGAGGTTCAGCCTCTCCCCTTCGGCCAGGTAACCCGCCTGGGGTGGGGGACATTCGGTACCAAACCAAGGAAATGAGGGGAGAGGTGGGGGAGATGGCAGGCAGGCTGTCACGTGGGGGTCCGGTCCCACTCAAAGGGTGGGCTGCGGACTGTACCACTGTGGCGGGCCCGCTGCGGGGGGCGAGGGGAAGAGGGCGCGAGGGGGCTACCCCTAGGGAAACTGGGAGCTGGGTCAGAGGGACTCTGCCTGTCGTACCTGGACGGGGACCACACCCTAACCCTCACGACTCCCCTTCCCTGTCGCTTGCTTTCGACCAACTTCCCTGTATCCCCTTGTAGGTGGTACGACCCCTCACTCTCAGTGCAGGTCTCCCATCAGCCTTGTACTGTGTCTGACTTCCTCGCGGCAGAGGGTCCCTTGAGCTCGTGGGACCTGATTTCGGAGTCGCGTGGAGGGTAATGGAGGGGGTGCCCAGCTCCCCTCTTGAAGCTCAGGTCACGGGAGGAGGGCGCACAAGAGGGGCGGGCTGGCGAGGTAGCTGCAAGGACACCCGGGGGAGAGCTGGGGAGATTGGCGCCGAGCCAGGCAAGCTCCTCCAGGAGGAACCGAGCCAAGGCGTGGAGCGGGAGAACCGGGGCGGGGTCGGGGCTGCCGTAGCCGCAGAAACCCTCGGGGTGACCCAAGCGTCCGGAATCCCCAGGCCCCTCGGCTCGGCATGGAAAGAATCGCGAGAGCCCGCACGTAGGCAAAAGGACGATGGGGGTGGGGATTTTTGGGGGGAGTGGGGAGCGTGAACGGGAGCTGCGAGGCTTGGGGCCCCAGACTTAGCCCCTCAAGCCTTCCCTTTGCACTCGAAAGCAAGGAGACTCGGGGTTATGGGCAAAAGGGAAGGGAAACTGAGGTATAGACTGGCAGAGACTTTGTTGCCCTGGCCCACCCCTTTTCACTTTCTGGGAGCCCCGTTCAGTTGGGCCCCACTCTTCAGATCCCCTCACCTCAACCTCCCAGAGGCACCCTAGTCCCGGAGACCCCGCCCCAGCCACTCACCCGGGCCGCGGTCGGGCCGCGCGGGCCGTCCCCCACACAGTCGCACCTTGGATAGCAGGATGAGGAGCTGCTTCTGGCAAAGGGACTTGGTGCCGCGGGGACACACGCGCCGCTGCGCGGACACGGGCCGGCTGCCCCCAGGTTCACGAACCTCCCGCTTCTGCCGGATCAGGCTACTGGCCAGCGCCGCCATGGTGCCCCGGGAGGAGACACCCCCAAACCGACAGGGGCTCGGAGCACGCTGTGCTCCCCCAGAGAAGCCCGCTCACCACGGCATGGTCTTGACGCTTTCCCAAGACTTAGCGCCCCACCCACAGGATCCGAGGACAAGCCTCAGACCACCCCCACCCCCCAGCTTCCACCTTTGAGCCCCCTTGCTAGCTCCACTGGACCCAACAGCCTAAGTACCTCTCAGTTAACCCCACCCTCGGCTTTTACCCCCTACAGAAAACTCTGCCTTCCCCTGCCCTCCATTTATCTGTCCCTACTTCCCCTATCCCAAAGCCAAGACCCTCAAAATTTCCAAGATGTGGTTCCAATATCCCCAGGCACCTTTCCACCCTATTTTGGGGATCCAGTACTCATGCCAAATCCACTCCTGTAATCTAAAGGGGTTGGGTCCTTGGCTTTGAGGATATTAGCTCACCCACCCCTACTGGGGCCTTGACAATGTCAGAGAAGAACCCAACCTTGGTGTCTTTGCCACCCTCTAAGTGAAGAGGATCTCCCACATTTTTTCACTCTAATCCCTCCCAAACTGTGTCTCAGAATATCAAGGCTGTCCCCATTCAGTGAGAAGGGGTTCCCAGACTCTGTCTCTGGACAAGACCTTTTTTCACCACGTCATCCCCATTTCTAGTGGCACAGGGTTCCAATTGCTGAGTCTTTCCTCACCTTGTTACCCTCTACTCCTTTTGAAGTCACCTCCAAATCCACCCTTCCTAGTGGATACACCAGGTGGTTGTCTGGAGGGCCCTCTGTCACCTCGAAATAAGGAGCATCCAGGTTTTTTTCTGGCTGTCCCTTAATTTCCTTGGGGACAGCTGGTACTGTTTAGATCCCACGCCCTCCAATCTAACAAGCCCCTCAAGAAGAGTGCACCCACGTTGTCACCAATCCTCAAATGTGAACAGGCCCCCTACAAGTCAGAGCGCATCAGAGCTTTCTGCGACAGGGCTTCCTCATCCTCCCCGCGACTGCCTTTGGCACCCCTCTCTTCCCCGACGCCCCTCAACCTGTCCTGTCTTGTTGATCCGGCAACGGGTGGCGCTGGCTCCGGTTCCAGGCTCCTCCCTCCCTGTCCCCAGCAAACGGAGCTTTCCCCCACGCCCGGCTAGGCGCCTCCGGACCCCTAAAGAACCAAAAGAAGAGTGAGGGTGTTTCCGCAGAGAGCCCTGGTCCGGCAAAGTCAGAGCATTGGGCCTGGTTGCTGGATCCAGCGCGGCGGCGGCGGCGGCGGCGGCGGCGGCGGCGGCGGCAGCGGCTGTAGGAAGCTGAGGCGGCGGCGACTACCGCAGCTCCCCCTTTTTGGAGAGCCAGCTGGGAGGCGGGGCAGGGGACGGAGACGCAGGGAAAGAGGGGGGTGAAGATGGGCGAGCAGAACCCCGGGGTTCCTTGGAGGCAGGGAGTGGGGACAGTCATAGAGGCAGGCGGAGCCGAGGCAAAGCCGACCGTCTCGGGGTTCAGAGGAGGAGGGACAAGGTGGCGACTCCACTGAATGGAATCCTGGATGGGGGGAGAGGCTGAGCTTAAGATAGATGGAATGGCAGACACCCCGAGAGGGGTGAAAGGGACCCTACTGCCCTGGATGGGAGGACAAAACTAAATGAAGACAGTGGGGAAAATAACTGAAGAGATTGGGGGGCCGGAGTGAGATCTGGGGGGGGAGGGAGGACCCAGCCTCCTTAATATTTCTGCTTTTATGTGAGCCAAATTGGTCTATCTCTGGTCTCCATATCTCTCCTTTCCACGTTTTGTCAGCAAATATACCCCCTCCCCCATCCCTAATGACTCTTGAAAGAAAAGACCATAAGAACTGGGGGAAGATGGTTGCCAGAGGCTGCACCAGGATGCGAGGGATACTGGCCACAGATCTGGAGAGTGGAAAATCCAAAATGGGATGACCTGTACCAGGGAAGAAGGGTAGGATAACGGGCCAGGAGGACTTCTAGAAGGTCTTTGGGTCCAGGGTTCTTAGTTTCCCAAGCGAGAGGCGAGCAGTCCCCTCCATTCTGCTAGTTAACAGAAGCACTTTCTCCACCCTGGTAGGAGTAGTCTTTAATGGACCCCGCCTCCCACACCAGCTAAGCCGCCCCCCTTGCGCGCAGCCTTAGCCTCCTCCACCGCGGCGCACAGGGCCCGAACAGGGTCCCCACGAAGCCGGGCCAACGCTAAGAGCAGCGCTGTTGGACCGTCCCCCGCACAGAGCTTTCGGCCCTTCAAAAAATAGTGGGGCAGCATCCCGGCCTCCAGCACACGGCCCAGCTCATCCAGCAGCCCGAGGCAGCAGGCGCCCGCATTCTCGGGCCGCGCCAGATAGAGCGCAGGCAGTCGCTCGCAAGCCCAGTAGAGCAACGTCCGCAGGAGGTAGGGCGCCGCGGCCCGGGTCCCCGCCACCAGTGGGCGCAGCAGCGCCTGGGCAGCTGAGTGCGCTTGCAGTAGCGGAGCGGGTATGCGCGCCTTGAGCGCCAGCTCCTGGCGGGCGAAGCACAGCTGCCAGCCGGAAGCGCCCCGCCGCTCTATGCGGCCGCCGGGCACCAGGTAGAAGGAGGACGACTTGGAGGCCAGCGGGCCGGCCCACGAGTGACTCCGAGCCCCCTCCGGCCAGCCAGCCACGGACACTACAGGGATCAGGTCGAAAAGGAGGAGGTGGCGTGGGGGCCCCGGAGTAGCCAGGAGGATGGTGGTGAACCCCGCGTGGCGGGCTGCGTGGACCAAGCGCGGGGCACCCGAGACCGGGTACAGGGACTCGGCGACCTCGGCCAGCGTAACAAAGAACCACGCGGCCACCTTGGCAGGGCACAATGTGGGCCACGCCTCCAGAGTCTCCGACGGCTGTGGGACTGGATTATACACCGCTGCTCTGGTGACGTCACCATTCATTTTTTTCAGCGGTGCGGGAAAGCCATAATGGGTTATATCTTGCAGAGGTGACTCGGGCCCCGAACCGTTACTAGGTGATTTATCCAAAGAAGACACAAGCGGCTCAGGCTCAGTTACGTAACTGTTCGGCGGGTCCACGGACCTTTTCTGGTCCTTGGGGCTTTCTTCGCTTTCGGTTCGGTGGATGGTATCACGTCCTCCTGGGACTGGGGGTCCTAGGCAATCCTGCCATGCCTCTCGGACAGAGGTTCCGTGCATCAGTTCTGGGAGGCAGAGCCAGGCGGAAGAAGATTCCACATCCAGTTGCAGCTCCTGCCCAGTGCCGTCTAGAGAAAACACGGGCACCAAGAGTGTGAAGCCGGCGTCGTAGTGAGGCCCCCTGGCGTAGGGACCTAGGGGTGCAGGCCCCAGATCCAGGGAGCCCTCGCGAATCCCGCCACGAAGCAGCAAGAGCTCTGCTTGGGGAGGAAAGCGGGGGTCCCGGCGGTGAACAAGACCTACGGGAAGAGAAGGGATCATGAAGACATGACCCAAAACCGGGGAAGGACTGAGAGCTGCGAGTTTCTGAAGGCAGGGAGAGTTACTTACCAAGTAAAGAGAAAACAAAGTCCTTGGCCCGGAGGAGGTCTGGTCCCGGCTTGGGCCCGTCACTCCAGCTCTCCTGCACACCCAGCTCCTGGATAAGCTGGGTTAATTCCTGCAGCTGCGCCCCAGAGCAGAAGTCGATGTCCGTGAGGGGGCGGGCTGGGGCAGGGGGCGGCGGGCCCCACCAGGGGGCACTCCCCCAGACCGCGGAAGCCATGTGGCTCTATCGTTTTATGTTAGGGAAAACACGGAAGGGAGGAGGCCTAGACGGGCCTTTCCTTTGCTGCCGAAAAGTCGCCTCGGTTCTTCTCTCTTCCTGATGCCGAGAGTGCCCCAGACAAGTCCGCTAAGGGGTCTGCAGACAGCTCTAAATTTAGTTTTGAAAACCAACAAATAAATACCTCCTCCGTCAGTTGGTTAAGAGCTCGCTCAAGAGTTTGAGCTCTGAGCAACAGCGGTTCGAGTCCAGCCCGAGCTGAGCAGCCACTGAGCTGCCAACAGGTAGCAGGATGGCTCAGCTAAAAAACAAACAAACAAACAAATACCTCCTCCGTCCTTGCCCTTTCTCATATGCTGGTCTCCGCCCCCATGGACAGGTTCATCTGACTCAGCAGGTAAAAAGTAGCTGTTGGGCTCCTCCTACGGAATACAATAGCCAGTCTCTTTTGCCCCTTGTCTACCTCCCCTTACCTCTTTTTCGGACGAGGCTTACGGTCTGCGGCTTCTCTCTGAGAAGTAGCTTCAAGGGCTGGGAAGAGAATGGATAGAACGATTCAACAGGTAACCTCTTCCGGCTCCCCGCAGGCCACGCCCTTTTCTGAAGCCTGGCTGGCTGGTTCCTGGCCGGCCCTGCCTCCGTCATCACTCCTTTCGCTCCGCTGAGCTCTCACGCTATCCTGGGAGTTGGAGTTTGTCTTCTGCGCTACCAGGGCGTTGAGGCCACTCCCACACATCCTTTCCTGTTCTGCTGAAGCAGTGCCTAATTGAAGTTGTAGTTTCTGGTCAGGCCCACACAAACATTGCTTGGAGTTGGAGCAGAGGGGTAACAGGATGGATCTGAATAGCAAACAATAATGGGGGATATACCCGAGGGCCTGGAGAAAAATAGAGGCTTCTACATCCCATGTATGAGTAGAGACGCCCTGGTCATTTAGATCTAGGAGGATTCGTCCATGCAATTATAACTTCATTTTGGAGATGAGACTGCAGCCTAGAAAGGTTGTACATGACTTGTCCAAGGTCAGAGCTGAGCCAGAGAGGTGTTAGAAAGGGACTCTCCAGCTGGGTGATCTCCCCTTGGGATCCGTGGTGGTAGTGTTAGGGAAGAACACACAATGGACATCTGACTCAGGGAAAGGACATATTAGTGATGCCTACCTCAGACGGTGGCAGGGAAAACGCTTTGGAATCTCACAGTTCCTGTGCATACACAGAAGAGTTACTAAGACTGAAAATCAAGTCCAGAGGAAACTCCCAGCCGGGCTGGGACAGGATGAAGGGAAATAATCAGGGGAAGGAAATTGTTTTCCGAAACAAATGCTATCAGGGACACAGCTTAAGTCCAGGATGACACTAGGAGTAGAATAATAGGACAGAAAGATAGGAAACCATGGACAAGCTCACAGATCAGATCAATCCATTGCTGGACCAGGACTTCTTACATTCCCTTTTCCCCAGAGTGAGATAGGCCTGAGAATTAAGCATAGGCAAGAGAATTAAGCAGAGACACCTAGAAAACTTAGAGATTTGTAAAGGAGGGAGATCTTAGAATCCAGAGCTCAATTTGGGCGGCCCAGATATCAGAAGTTCCTAGTCACTGACAAAGAGAGCTCTTCTCCCTCAGCAACTCAGAGTCCTAAATCACAGCCTAGAACTGAGTGTGTGTTAGGGGGGGG